CGCAGGGCGCAGGCTGCAATCACGCGCCTGCCGGTTCACAGATAAGCCCTCCATATGCTGAGGCACAAGCCCAGATGTGCAGAGAAGCCAGCCGGCCGCCTGTCCCTCCCCCTTCCCGCAGAACAAAGGGCAGACATTTCCTGCTCCTCCCAGAGTCAGACACGCACATGCCTTCCATCACAATTAACTCCAGGATCTGAAACACAACACAAACCCACCCGCAACATGCTCAGAATCAATGCCGTCAATACCCAGAGTGAGGACACCGGAAAAGCAAAACAAAACAAAACAAACCTATGCAGAGAGTAAACACTCCAAGCAACAGGGCTGGAGTCAGACATACTACAAGGTCAACACATCCAAGACAAGTTCAAGTGCCGGGCGCTTTGTAAACTAAAGAGCTGAACGTTCTCCCAGGGTGGCGAAAGTAAACGCCTTTGGGGCCAGGTAATGGAAAGGTCTAGAAGGTAATAGAGTGTGGGCCTGGCGTGAGCTGGACCGTGGGTGCCCCTGGTAAAGGCATTCAAATTCAGTGTTTTCAAAGTTCAACTCCTGCTACACGGTTCTCACACAGAGAGTCTACAACCCGACAGAGAAGGAATCGGAGTTAAATATGGGGGTAGGGTGGATATCGCAGAATAAGAGTCAAAATCAGAAATGTTGCCACGTGGGATAAACCGCAGGGCAGCGATTCTAGCTTCTGTTATTTGAAAGGCTAGCGATCATTTAGTTTACATCTTCAAAGGCAACAGCAAAACAAAAGCTAAAAGAAATGACTTAGTAAGCTCTGAGGTGAGAGGCTCAGATTAGTCAAATGGGTTCTCGACATAAGTAACTATTGAGCTGGATTATAAAAGATTACACCGTTTCCTTGACGGCTCCAAGCAGATGGAGACTCTGTATACTGACGGTATGGGCTTACTGAAGGCAAAGTGTGGACGAATGACCTTCCAAGGTCCTGATTTAACTATGTCTGTATAGTCAACTTCTGGCTATCCAGCCCAAAGAAGAAGACAGTGACAAATCTTCCTAAGCTGAAGATAATAAAAAGTTATATTTGCCTTTGGTGCTCAAATTAGAATGTGTCTTTCTGATGCTCTGAGAATTCACAATGCTTCACAACAGTCACAAAGAAAGCCCGACCCGGAGTTGGGAGGCCACCCAATTTTGCCATCCTGTCTTCCGTGTAACTCTTGTTCTTTGCTGGGGGTGAGCAATAAATACTGTCTTTCAGAATAGCATCCGGCAGGCCCAGCTTTCTCAGACAGAGGCAGCCTGGTCCAGCCCTTCTCTGGGAAAAGACACGGGGGTCTTTCCAAAGGACGGATCCAGGATCAAGACCCAGGAGGGTCTGTTTCTTGTTTCCAGAGGATGACTCCACAGTCCTACAGAACACGCAGTGAGAAGCAGGCTAGACAAAGTTGAGATACCCACTCCAGGCTGACTGCTAACGATGCCCAGCCTCTCTGCCACAGAGGACACCGAAGCAAACTTCTTGAGTTTCTTGGAGGAGAAGAAGACTCCACCGAAGAGGAAGACTAAATAAATCCCCAGTGCTTAGAAGGAAGGAAGCTGCCCACTCAAGGGATGCAAGGACGATGGCCTGCACATCAAAGGATGGCGGAAAGAGACCTTCCTGGGAAGCCCACACCCAGATGCAGGCTCAGGCAACCCACCACGACGGGGGGTCTGCGGGGCACGTGTCACTCCCTCTACCTGGAAAGGTACAGAGACGGAAAATCCTGCCACCTATCAGTTCTGCTCTTCCCAAATACACCTAGGCCCGAGCAGCCCTGGGGCCAAGACCTTCTCTGCCAGCGCTGTCCTTTGCAGCTGACTCATGAAGAAGGCACGCAGCCTGTGCTGACAAGTTCAGTGTGCCCTGGAGAGGCCAGGGAAAGGGCGGAACACAGCAAAAACAGGGAGTTCAGCTGCAGGCGGGTCTTCGCATCTTTAGGGGGCAAACTTGACTTTCCACGCCCTTTCGTTCCTTCTGTCAGAAACCTTGAGGGAACCCTGCGTCTGCAACACAGCCGTAGGAACCACAAGGTCTCCTGCAAGGCCAGGGGAGACGGAGTCAGACTGTGAGATCCAGAGCATGTGTGTGAGTGTGTGTGAGTGTGTGTGTGTGTGTGTGTGTGTGTGTGTGTGTGTGGTGAGAAGTGCAAGATAGTGACGTCAGAGTCACCTCTCCTGTGGAGACGGTGAGAGACTTCCCGTCTGCTGGGGCCCAGCTAGCTCCTGCTAGGGGTCCAGGTCCCAGAAGGAAAAGGAAATAGGATGAGGGGACTTTCTGTTCACATCTCGGGTCTTATTCTTTCCACGTTAATCTGTGGGAATACAAGATTAAGCCGTCTTCCCAGATGAAAGGACAGCGTGTTAGCAGTAGCAACTTGAAGAGAGGAGGGGGCGGGAGGGATGTTTGTCCTACTGTTCTCTGTCCTGTCAGTCCCCAGGGTCAACGGGGGGAGACTGGGGTCACCAAGCAGGAGGAGTGGCTAACCAGGACATTCAGAAATGCATCAGAGTCCCTTAACCAGGGGTTCTGGCAGGTGGCACATGGCCCTGGAAGTCAGGCTGGGCATGGATATGGCCAGGAGGGCTTCGAGCCACTGAACAGTTGCAGAACTGGACGTGGGCAGGGCTGCTTGGCCACAACTCTGTCAAGTAGCAAGGGTCACTCCAGCCATTCCTGCTTCTCCTCTGTGATGCTCTCTTTAGTTTTTCCTTCTAAAAGTCCAGAACTGTACTGTCCAATTTAAATGTGGCTATTTGATTAAGAGTAAATAAAATTAAAATTAAAAACTAACTTCTTTGTTTGCACTAGGCTCCATTCCAACGGCTCAACAGCTTACATGTGGCTATTGGATACCCTATTGCAGGGGTCTCCAGCCCCTGGGCCATGGACCAGTACCAGTCCCTGGCTTGTTAAGGAACTGGACCGCACAGCAGAAGATGAACAGCGGGTGAACGGAGCTCTGCCTCCTGTCAGATCATTAGATTCTCATAGAAGCACAAACTCAGGCCAGACTCAGTGACCCAGCCTGTCATCCCAGCACTTTGGGAAGCCAAGTCGAGAGGATTGCCTGAGTCCGTGGGTTCGAGACCAGCCTGGGCAACTTGGTGAGACTTCGTTTCTACAGTAAAAAATAAGTTGGTCGGGCATGGTAGCACGTGTCTGTAGTCCCAGCTACTTGGAAGACTGAGGCGGAAGGATCACCGGAGCCCAGCAGATCGACACTGGGGTGGCCGTGAGCGTACCACTGTACTCCAGTCTGGGCGATGGAGTGAGACTCT